CAGACGGGATTCGATAATAACCGGTGCCTTTCCTTTATACAAACTCTTTTTTGGCCGTAGTTTTTAATTAAAATCTTCTAAATAAACCTTCGTCGCGAAAGCGAGAAATTATTTACAGTAGTTTTGCCATGACATTGGGGGATTCATTAAGGCACGATTCGGTACGCGAAAGCGTGGGGTTCGAACCAGATAGTAAAAACTAGGCATTTATTTTAAACACAGCGAAATCGCTTTAAAAGAAATCAGAACTTAGTTGTTTTCAAAAAGTGATTTAAACCCCGAATGGGATAGCGAAAGCATATATTCTGCCTTAGAGTTACGACTAGCGTCAACAACCAACGTGAGACAAAAGTCTTTAAACGATTATTTTTCTCCTGAAAAACCATTTGCAAAAATTAAACTGCATTGGCGATGTGTCGAATCCCCGAAAACTAAAGTATTACATGCCGAGGCCCCTTATTAATATTATTAAACCTTATAAATCTTCTTTAAATTTAGCTTTTACTTCTGCATTAAATTCCTTAGAACCTTATTCCAACCTAGCTAAACATAGTAACACCCGATAACACTAGATTGATTACGAGTCCCTGTGGGATCGATATTTTTATTACTACACGATAGACTGTGCACTTGCAGTTAGTTCAGTTAGACTCAGAAAGTCGCGATCAAACACCCACCCATGCCATTTTTTTCCATTTTTCACATATTCACCATATTTTTAATATTTTCCATATTTTTTTTAATAATTATTTTTGTAAATCAATTTTAATTATTTTAAAATGATTTTTTGCACAAATATCACTCATATATTAGAATGTTTTATTCAGCCAAAAAAATCAAAAAAATGTTTTTATTTGATATATTTTTAATATATTTAAAAATATTATTTTTAATTGTTTTAAATGTTTCAAAATAATTTCTTTCTCTTGATTTTTTTTAAATCAAAATGATTTTTAATATTTATGTGGATAAAATACTTTTTCATAAACCTTAATCCTTTTTTTAACATGATTAATGATTTTATTTGATAAATTATACATATTTCATTTGATTTTTCTTTAAAAACTATCTTTAAAAAATATGAAATTAGGGTTTTGTTTTGATCTAATCTTTCAAACTTGTTTTCAACACTCATGTGCCTCTATTAGAGATGTAAGACCCAACCCTCTTTATAAATAAATCATTTCATGGGCCTCTGCTTTAGTATAAGTCCCATTGCGCTTTTCAAAATCACGGTGCGATCATTATTTTCCAAACCATTTCATGGGCCTCTGCTAGGAGGGTAAGTCTCATCCCTCTGTTCATAAACTTTGTTTTCAAAAACATCTAGGCCTCTGATAGGAGTGTAAGTCTCATCTCTTTGTACATAAACCTTGTTTTCAAAATCATTTGGGCCTCTACTAGGAGTGTAAGTCCCATCTCTCTGTACATAAACCTTGTTTTCAAAATCATTTGGGCATCTGCTAGGAGTGTAAGTCTCATCTCTCTGTACATAAACTTTGTTTTCAATAACCATGAGCCTCTATTAGAGTCCAAGACCTAACACCTTTTGTAAATATAAAACCTTTTAGCTTCATTCATCTTGGGCTTTGTACATGATACAAATAACACTCTTGGGCCTCTGTCTAGAGTGTAAGACTCAACACCTTTATTTACTTAAACATCAAGTCATCTTCAAAGTTAAAACTTTCTTCAATTTCTCAAAACCCTGACTCAGTCTTAAAGAAAACATCTAATCAATCACAATACACTTGGGCCTTTATCCAAAGTATAAGACCCACCACCTTTTTCAATTCAATTCATACTTCTTTATATACTTGGTCATATCTTTGTATATATGCTTGTACATATCTTGTTAAATTTCTCTTAGAATTTGAATCATCCTTAGTTTAGACTAGTTCAAACAATAGGATCCTTGTCAATCAGTATAACTTAGTTCAAACAAATAGTTCCCCCCTATACAAAGGAATTCTTATCCCCAATACAGTCATCCTCCTCTTGGGCTTTGTTCAATTGATTCAATCTTGAAAAACTTCAATAAAGAGAGGATTATTTCTCGGTGAAACCTCTTTTTTAACCCCTTTAATCTTGAAACAGTTCAACAAAGAAAGAATTATTTTTCGGTGAAACCTTTCTTGAACTCTTCTTAAGGTTTGGACAGCCTAAATTCCCCAACCTCCTCTTGAGCTTCATACAAGGACCCTCAGGCTTCCTAAAAGCACAGGATAGACCCTAGTCATCCTTATCCCTACACCAATTCTCAAGAGAGTCAAAACCTCTAAAACATTCAAACTCGTCCTTTGAGTCTCCTCTGATCCTCAACAAGGCTTGACTTCTATCTTAAATCCTCAGCAAGGGTCAGGTTACAATCAACAAATCCAAAAAATAATCAAAGCCTTTATGACAGTTTAATAAATCCAACTCTCCTCTAATTTTCAGCAGGAGTCAGTTTCACTTTTGATTCCTCAAAGCAGTTGGATCCTGCTCTTGGATTCAATGTTCCTCAGCAAGAGTCAGTCTCCACTTACATTTCCTCAGCAAGAGTCAGTCTCCACTTAAATTCCCTCAGCCTCCTCTTAGGATTCATATAAGGATTTTCCCCAGTCAGCCTCAATCTTGGGCTTTGTACAAGACAGATATAATACTCCCCTAGTTGAGTCAGTTTTCAATCCCTTTTTTAGCTTCAATCTTGGACTTTGATCAAGACACAAAATTCAACATCCCCACAGATGAGACTCTGAGTTCTCTCTATAGGGGGATATTTCCTCTATACATCACATTTCAAAACAAACAAGTAAACCTTTTTCCAAATGATTGATGTAAGTGACTTGTTGATTCAAAATCCAAGCTGAAGTCCCTCCTTTATCATGACCAAAGTTCTCTTTCATCTAAGTGATGTAAGTGGCAAGCCTCTGAAACACATCCAAGCCAATGTCACTCTCTTAGCATGCAAAGATTCATAAAGGAACAAGTGGCATTGCTCTACATTGAGTTAAAGCTTTTTCCTTCATGACATTTCAACTATCTTATAAAGGAAGATGTGGCATTGTTGGATTCCATACATCCCAGTTAAAGCAATTTCCCTTATAATCAAAACCTCAATAATTGTGATGAATAGGTGAGATATCTCCCTTTAGAGATGACAAATTCTCTCTCAAAAACTCTTTTACCTTCAATCTTGGGCTTTGAATAAGACACAAAAACTCTTTTAGCTTAAATCTTGAAACTTCGAACAAGACACAAAAACTCTTTTAACTTCAATCTTGGGCTTTGAGCAAGACACATAAACTCCTTTAACTTCAATCTTGGACTTTGAACAAGACACAAACATCTTTTAGCTTCAATCTAGGATTTTAAACAAGACACCAAACATTTTTCCTCCCATAGAATATGAGGAACTGCTCTGATTTCTCCAAATCTCTTTACGGGAATACGTAGGCATAAGATTGCGAAATCTTAACGAGTACACTAATAAAAAACCTTAGGTCTAAATACCTGTCCAAAAACAACAAAAACATTTCCTCAACCTCCTAGAGAAACTTTCCCCACCTGCAGCAAATAGACTCAAGAAAGCAATTCTAACAGCAAAAAATAAATGCAATCAAAGTTTCTATAGATTACTATAGATACTCTGCGTGTTAATAGCTTCCCTTTGTATAATCAACTCTCGATTCCAGATCTCTTCGCATTTGTAGGAAAAACACTTCCGTGCAGGATTAGTTTAAAATATTTTTCCCTTCCTTTTAAGCTTCATAGGATAAATATAAATTAGAAATAACATCAAAAACAGTAGTGATCACGCCAAAAAGAACCGACTGCAACATCAGTGAATTATTTTTCTTATATATGCTCGTAATGTTTTTATTGTTTAACATTTATATTGATTTACGACCCACAATTTAAAACATAATTTGGCTTATGAATTATGAGATAAAAATTTGTGACTTTAGTACTCTAGAAATAGATATATACATATAAAACCAATTGAGATATCTGCATATACTAATAAGAGTTTCTTGTTCATTTGTGGTTAATCATAACCATAAACTCACTAAGAAATTAGGAATTACTTTATAATCAAATATTTTGTCACTAAAGAATTAGGATAACAACATCAGAATTCAGTAACAATTTAATAGATAAATTATGGGTTATTTATAATTATTCAGAGGTTTGACTAACTATTATTATTGTACATATTATATGAATAAAACAAGACATTACATTTCAATCTCTTTCGTGATGGAATAAAATATTTCTGTCATTATGCTTAAGTGTAATTATTTTCATTTATATTTGTCATTATTTAGAGGTTTGACTAACCTATTATTATTATTGTATAGATATACTCTTGTTCACGGGTGTCCGTCCCATTTAGTCCCGTCCTACAAAATCTTTAAAAAAACGGAGCCGGGAGCCAGGACAAACATAGTTGAGGAAGCGGGCCTAAACATTATCTTGCCCCATACTAAAAGTGAAGTCGGGGTAGACGGATCTGCGGGCATTGTATATTTTAAACATAAAAATACAAAATTTATGTTACGGTTTGAACCCGCAAAAGCCCGTAAAAAAACATGATAGAGCGGGGTGGGGCGGACAAGTTAAATGACACTAGTCATAACCTTTTGTCCTCCCTGCACTAAAGTCGGACAAAACAGATATGCCCAACGATTGGATCCGTTTTGTCATCCTCCCCGTACTACAGTACAAACAAAATGGACATGCCTAACGGTCGGATCCGTTTTGTCACCCCTACTCTTGATTATATGAATTAAACAAGACATTTATATTATAATCTTGTTCGGATATCACTAAAAATATTAAGAGGAAATTGTAATCAATAAATGCTATTCAAATATTGCATATATTTGAAATCAAGTTGTTCAGAATCCTATGTACTAACATTTTTTCTTCTATGTACTAACTTTTTTTTTTATCAGAAATGTATGAACATTGAACACAAAAATGGACAGCCAGTAACATGTGTGGTTTCATTTTATCTATGAGCCTTCAAAAAATATCCGGTCTGTTCTAAGTTTAGTTTTCACAGCTTCTATCTCCTTCATTTGTTTCTGTAAAGATAACAAATAAAGTTAAATCGTCTAAACAAGTCAAAAATAAGTTTGCTAGACAAGATTGAGGAGGATTCATCGGCGAAAAAAAATACTCCACCTCACATAAGGCCTTCCAACATGCCTCGGACTTATCATACTGATGTGCCCATTCAATAGCCATTGCGTATTCAATTGTATTGTGTTGTGAACAATGTGATGTTGATACAGCATTTCTCTATAAAAAGCAAAGAATACATTGTAAATCATATTTTAGTGTGTGATAAAACGAATCGATTAGCAAGTTAAGTTAGACTACCATCTCTCGGCTTTGCTTGTGTTGCGTGGCTCTACTAATAGTCAGATGGCCAGTGAATGTGCTTTGCTTGACTGGATCTCTAACACTTCCCTTCCTGGCAGTCACAACCCTGCAGGAACAATGTATCAAAATGTTCAAATGCCTAAAAAGAAGTTAGAGCCATTCTAATATTTACAATAAGTTACTTTCTTTCCATTGCCAAAGGAAAAATGCATATGGTTTGCATTATTCAATACTTACCCTACAATCAACTAAAGTATGTTATTGATCTTGGTTGTCCGATCTCAAATTAATGGGGAAGATTATTTAAAGACGATTTAGTGAAGGTGTAATTTGAGTTGGTCGACTGATCTCAAATCATTTATCAGATCAATTAATGCGTATAACAGAAGAGAAATTCAACATGAAAAACAAAGAAATAAATGATATACCTCCCATCTTCAAGAACAAGGCATTTCCTGGTCAACTCGGATATTGCATTTGCAGCTGCATCTTTTGTTCTGAAAATAACCAATGCTCTACCTGTTGGTGAATGAGAAAACAAAATCAATAGATGATTTAACAAAAACTATCATATAGCACTGAATTTTATGTTTTTCTATCATAACAATGAAAAACCAAGAATAAAAATAAAGCATGAAATCTGTAACTACCATAGTATGTATTGGAAGCCGGGCTCGACTCTATCATCCTTGCCTCAACCTTTTCTTTGAGTGCATGCCAAACAAGATCCTTAACAATCAGTGAAGAAAAATTAGATAAGAAACAAGACAATTAGACACATAAGAATCCACACATAACACAATCCCACACAACATTTTGCATATTCTAATGAATCAAAAGTACTTCCTACACTACATTAGCACATGGACTATTTCGACCTTCAACTAATTGTCGAGACAGGAGAAAAAGCTGAGTCCTACATACCTCAATTTCATAGGACGTGTAGGATGGATCCAGATTACTCAGTAAAACAAGGGTATCCAACTCTTGAGCTTTCTGTAGTCTTCCTTCCCAAGGCTACAAACAAAATTATCATAAATAAAACATGATTGGAAGCAGAGATAAACATAGGAATCAATACAATGTTCATTGACCAATTACTTCATTATGTTTTGTGATGCAATATACTCCTTGTATGCAATACATAACAGAATTCCTCACTGATTTTCAAATCCAAATAGGGTTAAATAAAATAATGATCCAAGCATTTCACATGGAAAATTAATTTCTCATAAAAGATAATATACCAGAAATTCCAAGTAGCAAAACACCTGATAATGTCAACCAAAATGCAGTAAAAGAAGTAAAAATATTCTTATGCTTGTAAAACAAGAAAACGCATGGAATAACGCAGATGATGGTTATAGGTATAGACAAACACAACCTGCTTAATATAGCATAGTTTTAATCATCAAATAGAGAAAAAAATCAACAGCACGTGTAGAATATAAATGAAACTAAAAAGCTTAGAGAAAATGTTAATTTATTTAGATGCTACTAGACTAAGAAAATTAGAGTGTGGAAGTTCCAAGAAAAACCCTCCGTTACAAACACAATTTACATATTATATAAATTTTGGTACAGCAACAATCAAAATAAAGAAATAAAAACTCACCATTTTCTTAAACCACTTTCTTTTCTCCTGCAACAATAAAAATGTGAGTTAGTAAAGGATTAGGCGGTGGCTAGAGTCATATCTATATTATATTTGAAACCACATTTACAAGTTAAAATTGTGAATGTTTGTTTGCTACCACCAACATTCCCAATCTTTTTATCTTGCTTAAGAACTCATGTTATGAAGTTAAGTAATTTATATCCAGTGAAGAAAGAAAAATTTGAAATCATGAATATATAATGATGATAAAACTTCATTAGTTGAAAAATATTTGCTCTGATGAATTTCTAAATGCACCAAAACAGGAAGATGAACTATAATGTATCCATTTCGTTCATCTTATCTAGGAAACAAGGATTATTGTGTGAAGAAAGCAATAAATTCTGTACAAAAACAATGAAACTAAGCAAAACTACAATTACTATAATGATTTTGAGACTTACTGCATTTGGCCTTTCAGTCACCTCCGTAACTTTCCTGTTTTGGTTGACACTTCCATCCTGTCTAAATTCTTCCTTCCCATCAAATACCTCTTTCTTTTGGGAGTTGTTAATTTGATCAATGACTGACTTCTCTTCTGTGAATTTCCTCTTTTTAGATGGATAAGAATCTAAGAATCTTTTTGGCAATACATTCTCCGAAATTATCATTTCATCTTTATCTTTAACTTTCAAATGCAACATATCAGAAGGAGCAATCTTAATCCTAACCCCATCTTTATCTTTAAAAAATTTAGAAGGTCCCATCTTTATCTTTGGCGAGACATTTACAGAAATTTTCAATTGATCTTTATCTTTAGATTTCCAATGCAAGCTATCAGAAGGACCAATCTTAATCTTAGCTCCATCTTTATCTCTAAAGTCTTCAGAAGTTATCTTTATCTTGGACGAGACATTCTCAGAGGTTCTCAATTCATCTGAAGTTATCTTTATCTTGGACGAGACATTCTCAGAGGTTCTCAATTCATCTGAAGTTATCTTTATCTTGGACGAGACATTCTCAGAGGTTCTCAATTCATCTGAAGTTATCTTCACCTTGGACGAGACATTCTCAGAGGTTCTCAATTCATCTTTATCTTCAACTTTCAAACACAGCATATCAGAAGGAGCAGTCTTAAAATTGGCTTCAATTTTATCTCTAAAACTCTCAGAAGTTCTCAATTCATCTTTATCTTCAATTTTCAAACACAACATATCAGGAGCAGTCTTAATATTGGCTTCATTTTTATCTCTAAAATTCTCAGAAATCCTAATCATTATCTTTGGATAGACATTCTTACAAGTTCTCAATTCATCTTTATTTTCAACTTTCCGATGCAACATATCAGAAGAAGCAGTCTTAATATTGACTTCATTTTCATCTTTAAAGTTCTCAGATGCCCTCATCAGTATCTTTGGCAAGACATTCTTAGAAGCTCCCAATTCATCTTTATCTTCAACTTTCAGAGGCAAGATATCAGAAGGAGCGGTCTTAGTTCTTGCCCCATTTACAACTTCATCTTTATCTTTAACATTCAAAGGAATTCTCTTCTTTATCTTTATCTTTTTTATCACTCTAGGAATTTTATTTGCCTCAAGATGCAGATTATCAATGGTCTTTTTATCCCCTTTCCTATTAAAGAATTGCTCCACTGGAGAACACCAACATGGAATGGTAGTTAATGGAAACAACAAATTGCCATAATTAAGAAAATCAAGTGCACCATATGAACATGTCAAATAGTTACTATATGTGGTGTGTCCAATTTAATCAATGAAGTTAGCAATCAAAAAAATGCAAGACATTGATAACTGACCTTCAATTCCATTAATCGTATCAGGAAATTTATCTTCGATAGCACACCTATCAACATTGAAAGTACATTTGAAAAAGAAATCTGCTTTCTTTCGCTCTGTTACAGATGATTTGGGATTTCTTTTATCCTCTGAAGTGCAAACAACACTGCATTTTCCAATAATTGATCCCTGAAAACAGAATTTTGAAATGGACAAAATAGTACGATCAAACTAACTTTGTGCGTAATGACAAACTCACTTTTCAACGATACAAAATTTAACATACTAGTTCTGCAAAACTACCATTAAGAAGAAGAATCATTAGCTATTCCCATAATGATAAAGTCTGATTTTCCCATAACAGGGTATTCAAAAATTGTTAGCTAAACCTCTATTTTCGTCAACTTGCATAAACACCCTAATCCAACCATCTAAATACATGTTAGGAAGCACCTATGGATATCTTCAATAAGATAACATAGTTCATGATATTTCCTATCAGCATCCCATAATCTTTACTTGTTCAGCTCTCAGAAATAGCAATTTCATCTAGTGCCAAAAAGTTGCATAAGAACTTCAACCTACCAAGTTAAACTGATAAGGAGGAGGTCAAACGTTCGATCTCCACCCTCACCATAAAAAATAAAAAAAAACTAACAAAGCTAACATGCATTCAAAGACATACTATACTCTCTCCAAAATGAAATATAAGCAAAAACGGTAAGTAAATCATTAATGTATATAGTTAAAAATAAATATCACATTCACCCAACTTTTCAAATGTTCTTTTCGCTTACATTTCGTTCAAGAGGGAGTATCACTCATTATTACATGCATTCAATCTATTTATTTTCATCACAGACATTGAGACCCCACATTAAACTAAATTCCAGACACACTCAATCTTCAACTACAGTACAAAAATCACATAATGACAATAATCAAAATCACAGAAAAATCAATACAAAGCACAAAAAGAATGAACTAAAACATTACCAACAAATTGCAATTGGAAACACCTTTTCCATTCCCAGACGCCAAAAACAACTCATTCCAAAGAGGCTGATGACTCCCAAAGAAATTCCGAATTTCCAAAGGCCGGAAAAACCAAACAACTTCAGTCATCTTTCTCCCACCTGTCTCAAACATCTTCACAAGCTTACCAATAGAAGTGTCAACATGATCAGTATGGTAAAAATAACAACAATCATACAGAAAATACTCAACACCGTCATAAACAAAGGATTCATAGAACACTGTATCTTTGTTTCCAACATCAATTTCTTTCCTATTCCCCCACTTGAAATCTCCAACATCTTCTTCCTCACAACAAGGGTTTGATGAAGGTGGCATTTCAAAAAAAAAAATTTCAAAAAATCAAAAACAAAAACCTGAAACATCACAAAAAGAAAATTAAGAAAACCTAGTATAAAGTATAAATAAGAAGACGATTATGAAATGATAGAAAGTTTACAAACCTAGGTTGAAAAGAGAGAAGATGAAAACGGCAACTACATTGTCGTTTTGAAGAGAGTGGAGTAGAAATGAGTCGGTTCAAGTCATGATGCTAAAACGAAATGGAAATGAAAATGAAAATGAAATGAAGTTGATTCGTACACACACACAAATGCATTTCTTCAATTTCTGGTTTCGGTTACAATGCTGCTCGCATTTCATTATTTGTCAGGTTCTAGCTTTATTTCTAAAACTGGTTTCATGCACAATGGTTTATTTATTCTTTTCTTATCATTCTTTTTAATGCTCAACGTTATTTATTGTATGGGCCGAGAGTTGAAAACTTTTGACTTGGGAGCTTTATATTTAGAATTTTTTAATGCATTCTATATATATTATTAATGTTGACTTATGTACCAAGTTTTTTGATTGATCCTTTGCAGTGCCTTAATATTTGAATAACTTTGTTATTTATTTAACCATAAATTGATTCAAAATGAAAATAGGTTAATTAGCTTTTATTTAGGGACAGGTGTAACCGTTGTTAATTTTATGCTTAAATCTGAACGTTGTTAATTTTTATACCTTATAATCAAAATGGTGTAATATCTCTTTTTAAGAAATGTTTTTTTAAGACAGGTGTGAACCTCATTATAAATAAGAATTTCTTAGCATATGATTCAACAATGAAAATTAATCAATTTTAAAATTATTTTCTCATTCTAAATCATCTTTCTCTTTTCTAATGCACTAGAGTAAGTAAAAGAAACATACTTCTGTAAAATTTTATCAAAAAATATATTTAGAGAGATTGTGCAATTCTCTTTAAGAATTTCAAAGTATCCTGCAGAAAATTTGTCAGGAAACTCTTTTGCATCTAACATACAAAGATTGGTGGAGGCGAGTTGTTTCTTAAGCTTAGTGTGAAAACACACGCTTTGAAATTTTATCGCGCTAATATATTTCTCTGTTTTTATCTCCATTTATTCTTAGTTTTGAAGCAGCCCCAAAATCAAAATATCTAACAATCTTAAGGAAGATTTTGATGTTATTCAATGGCTACTTCACTAAAAGAGACAACTTCTGACTTTTTGAAATTAGAGAAGTTTGATGGAGCCAATTTTATCTATTGGCAGAAAAAAAACTCACAACATTGAAAGTGGTGTGTCCTTAACATCTCAAGACCAGTGAAAATAGAACATGAAATTATTATTGAAATTAGAGAGTGACAAAAGTGGGACAATGATGATTATATATACATGAGACGCATCCTCAACAGTATATGTGATTCGTTGATCGACATTTATCAGAGTAGTCACTCCATAAAAAAATAATAGGAGAAACTAAAATCAAGATACATGTAAGAAGACACTACAAGTAAGAAGTTTCTTGTTTCTCAATTTAATAATTACAAAATGATAGATGGTAGGCATGTTATGGAACAAATGCATGAAATTGAACATAATCTCAATAATTAAAAACAACACAATATGCACATGGATGAAACTATAATTGTATCCTCTATAATAGATAAACTTTCTCCTTCTTGAAAATATTTTAAATGAACCATGAAGCATAAGAAGGAGGACATTTCTCTTGAACAATTAGGTAATCAACTTCGTTTAGAAGAAGGGTATCGAAAACAAGATGATACTAAAAGTGAATTTACTCAAGAGAAGATTCATGTGATGAAGGAAGGAAATTCAAGCAAACATCTTAAGAAAAGAAAACGAGATTTCAAAAAATCTCGTGAAAACCACAATGGTAATAACAACAACCTAAAGAAAAAGAAAGGAAATTGTTATTATTGTGGAAATCCGCGACACTTTACACATGAGTGCAGGTTCTTAAAGAAAAAGAACAAAGAGAAAAATTCAAGTGTAATAAAAGAAAATCTTGTTGTTGTCATTTCTGAACTCAACATGATTAAAGATATTAATCTTTGATGGATAGACTATGGTGCTATTCTTCATGTATGTAAAAATAAAGAACTATTCAAAACCATCGATGAAGCATCGATGAAGCATCTTATACATTGAAAATGCTTCAACTGTGTAGGTTAAATGAAAGGGCACATTAGATATTTAATTTAAATCGGGAAAAACACTCTCGCTTAAAGATGTAATTTTTGTTCCTCTAGTTAGAAAGAACTTATTTATGTACCTTTACTTAATAAGTTTGGTTTCAAGTCTGTATTTGAGGGAGATAAATTTATTCTTTCAAAAGGGGGTATGTTTGTAGGGAAGTGTTATCTTTGTCCGAATATGTTCAAATGTAATAATAATAATAATAATAATAATAATAATAATAATAATAATAATAATAATAATAATAATAATAATAATAATAATAATAATAATAATAATAATAATAATAATAATAATAATAACTATTATTATTATTATTATTATTATTATTATTAATATGATTTATGCTTATATTGTTGTTGAGTCTTGTGATTTATGGCATATGTGATTAGGTCATGTTAACTTTAGAAAATTAAATGACACGACGAAATCAAATTTAATTCCTACTTTTGATATAAACTTAAATTCTTGTACCACTTGCGTTTTAACTAAAATCACAAGACAACATTTTAAGAGAGTTGAACGAAATTCTAAAGTATTAGATTTAGTTCATTTTGAAGTATGTGATTTACATGGTTGGTCTATCATTAATGGTAAAAAAATATTTTGTCACTTCCATCGATGATGTACTCGATTTTGGTATGTTTATTTAATGCCCTCTAAAGATGAAGTTTTAGATAAATTTAAAATATTTAAAGCACAAGTAGAACTTGAACATGCAACTCTCATTAAATGTTTTAGAAGTGATTGGAGATGAGAGTTTTATCATCCTAATTTTTTTTTAATTCTCCAGTATCATGCATCAAATTACTACACCTTATTCCCCATAACAAAATGGAATATCGTAAAGGAAAAACATGGTATTAGAATAATTGGTAAATGTCATGTTATTCTATTCTAGTTTATCTAAAGGATATTTGGGTGAAGCAATTCTAACAGCATGTCATATACAAAATAGAGTTCCTAATAAAGGGAACAAGATAGCTCCATATGTACTATGGAAACAAAGAAAACCCAACCTAAATTATTTAAAATTTTAGGGTTGTAGATCAATTGTGAAGGTGCCAGAACCAAAAATAAAGAAATTGGGTGAAAAAGGAGTTTAGTGTGTATTTATTGGTTACGCTAAAAATAGCAAAGCATATAGATTCATAATTATTGAATCTAATGACTCATATCCTATTAATACAGTGATTAAGTCGAGAGATGCAATTTTTCTAAAAAAATAGATTCACCTCAATTTCAAAATCCAAAAACATTCTTCATTCTAATCTACAAAGTTTAAAAAATAATGTGTCCAATAATGATACTATAACAAATTTGGTACCTAGGAGAAGTAAAAAAGATCAAAAAGAATAATATGTGTGGACCAAACTTCTTTATGTTCCTTGTTGAAGAAACAAATGACTCCATTAATAATTATGGTCTAATTAGTTATAATTTAGAAAATGATCAGAGACATATGAAGATACAATAAAGTCTCGACATTACTACAAATAATACATTCCATGACAAAACTTTCACCTCATCCTACCAAAAACTGAGGTCACAACTGAAGGCACACCATGCTTTATATTATTTTTTAATAAATGTCACATATTCCGTCAGTTACAAAATAAAATCGAGGGGAAAATATTTCAGGACACGCTTCAAATCCCAGTATCAACAATTTATGTTTTTATTTCTTTAAAACTGATGTCTTTATTATTATTATTTTTTTAACTTTTAAATTAATGACTTATTCCTCGTTTATATTTAATAATAAAGGTATTAATTATCATATTTTACTATAAAAACACTGATTTTAGTTACAGTGTTGCTCGCATTTCATTATTTGTCAGGTTCTAGTTTTATTTCTAAAACTGGTTTCATGCATTTTGGCTTATTTATTCTTTTCTTATGATGTGTTCTTTTTAATGTTCAATATTATTTATTATATGGGTCGGGCTAGAATTTGAAAAGTTTTCACTATGCCAAAACAGACCTTTAGCAGCGCTTTTTTTGACCTTTAGCAGCGCTTTAAAGCGCTGCCTAAAGTGGCGCTGCTAAAGGTAAAGGCAGCGCTTTTTTTGTGGAAAAAGCGCTGCTAAAGACATCACATTTAGCAGCGCTTTTTAAAGCGCTGCCTAATCTCCCCCCACCCCCTCCCCCCCTTTAGCAGCGTTTTATTAAAGCGCTGTCTTAGACCCCCCATATAGCAGCGCTTTATGAAAGCGCTGTCTTAGACCCCTCTTTCCCCACCTATAGCAGCGCTTTTTTAGCAGTTTCTCTGTCTCCTTTAGCAGCGCTTATACATAAAAGCGATGTCTAATGTGCACGTTTTGAAAAAAATAAATTTCCTGATTAATGACATTTTTTTATATATTTTTCAATAAATCTGCTTATATTACAATACCTGCTTATATAATTTAGCCCTTTATTTCAGCACTTTGGCTTTATATACACAATTCAACACTTTGGCATTATGTGCACAATTCAACACTTTGGCATTATATGCACAATTCAACATCACAAATTATATACAATTCCACTTTAATATATATAATTCAAAAGCTTCACAATTCAACATCACAAATTATATACAATTCTCAACTCGAAATTCAACATAACAAATTATACAATTCTACTTTAATTTCTTCCAATCTTCATTGCTGGCCATAATATACCTATAATTCAGGAAAACTAAAGTATCAAATGAATGACATTCAAATATGTAAATAAGAAATATATATATATATACACATAAGAAACGTATAAATAAGAAATAATATGTTATTTTATTGAATGAGACAATATGTAATTTTACAAGTA